CCGGCAAGTAACAAGGAGGGCGCCGGCGCCTTTTTCCCCGCGCTTCTGTGAAACCCAGGGGTAGCCAAGGAAAAAACCTTGATGAGCCGGAGTCGCCGCCCTGGTCTCTGCAGGGTGTCCTGCAGTGCTGCTCGCTTCGTCCGAATGAATGCCTGGTGTGTTCATGACGACGCCGAATGAATGAATGAATGACATTTCGTGAAACCGCTGCTGCTTTGATTTTGTTGTGTGGTTAAGGGTAAGATTGTGCGTCTCCACATCTAATTTGGCTTTCCATTATTGGGGCTTCGCATCTGCATGCCTCTTCATTGTGTGACATACGTTAACTCATAGCGCAACGGCAGGCAGAGTCTGTCGGTCTCTCATGAAACGAACTGCGTCAGCGTCGACCAACCCTCAATCATGCGACAAACATGCCAGCACCATCCTCAGCGCCCGCCTGGCGTATCTTCCTTCGGCGCCGCCCACCACGCACACACATACTCGCACTACGCGCCAACGCAACAGACAGACGAGCACGAACCCACCCCATCACCTGGCCGTACGACTTGTCTGCCCACGCAGCCTTGGTGCGCAGCTTCTCAACCAGGCGGCTGAAAAAACCGTTGGCCTCTCTGCCCCACACACCATCCACCGTGACGCACAAGGGGGTGAAGTGGATGGACTTGTCCTCGCACACATGGCTGTGGTGGGCCTTCTTGGTCTTGGCCTTGCTCTTGAGGATGGAGGCGGTGGATTGCTTGCGGTAGGACGGTGCGTCAGCGTTCGTCACGCATACGTCGAACGACACGTCCTTCTGCCTCTCCCACACCCCTCTCACCACCATGTCCGTCCGCACCCCCTTCTCCCCCTCCTCCCCCTCCTCCTCGGGCTCCACGATCACCACCTCCTTCCTGACCGCCGACTCGCCCCAAGCCTTGGCAGAAAGGTCGCACAGCACGTCCACCACCTCGTTGTGCCGCCGAATCACCAACCCACCCACCCCACAGTTGAGGGCGTGGTCGAGCGAGTATGCAGCCCCGCAGCCGTCGCAGTGGGTGGGCATCTTGGGAGGTTCGTAGGCGTATCGGATGGCCATGTTGTCGCGGAACTCGTCAGGCGTCAGGTCGGTGTGGTCCTCTGCATCAGGGCGGCAAGTCACCCACCCGGCCGTCTTGGCCTCGATCGCTCGGTGGACCGCCCGTCGTCTCTCTGGGGGCAGCTGCTGGAGGCCGTCCTCGAAGCGCTCCTTGGCTGTCTCATCGGTCGCCCGCCGCCCCTCCTTGACCGCTTACTGCATCTCGGCGCGGTGCTGGAAGGGGTTGAATGGAGGGCCGTCGGGTGGGTCGCCGTTCTGGATGGTGGACACTAGCAGGGAGGTGCCCTTGGTGGACGTCTCGTATGCCGCCGCCACTCGCTCCGTCGGGTCCCTCACCCCCATCCCCCCATGACGCGCAGGCAGCATCATCAGCTGGGCCTTAGTGGCGGTCACCGCATGGCTGGAGAGCTGGGTAAGGTAGTGGGTGAGGGCATATCGCAGCGGCTCGAATGTCGCCCGCTCCTCAGGCATCACCCGCATGCAGAAATCCCACTCGGCCTGCAGAGACGTTGTGAGTGCCGTGTGGGCTGCCTGCGGGTACTTAGCCGCTGCGTCCGCCATCCGATTGACACACCGCTGCCACTCCTGCACCCTCTCGGTGGCGTAGGCCCGCTTGCCCTCCGCGGTCCCCACAAATCCCCCCATATATCGAGCACCATTCACAATCTCCACGTCGGTATCGCCAAACACCTCCCGCGCCCGCTCCTCGCAACCCGCCCGCACCACCAGCTTGGTCTTCTTGCCGTTGGGGTGGTAGCCCCTTAGTGGCCCTCTCCGCTGCAGCTCATCCCACCACTCGCGCACCGGCTGGAGGTCTCCCACCTTGGCGGAGTCGTCGGCAAACCATGCCTGAGGGCCCTCCTCTGCTGGCCGCTTCATCTCCCACACGAGCGGAAGGGTGGCCACAGAGTAGAAGAGGGAGGCCAAGGGATCGCCTTGTGTGGTCCCTTCTCGGCTCCACAGCGGCGCGGACTGGTCGCGCATGCAGAGGGCCGCATGGCCGCGATAGGTGTTGAACAGGAAGCGTGAGCACCGCGACCACAAAATGCGGACGTTCCACAGGGCGGCAGAGCGACTCATCTCGTTGAAGGCGTTCGTCGCATCCACCAGGATCGCGCACTCAACACCACCCGAGTCGAACTCACCGGATACCGCATGAATGGCGCCCTCCACGCCCCCCTTGAGCCCGGCACAGAGCTGGTCCGCACCGCACACAATCTCCGCATCCACCCCGACTGCCTTGGCCATCGCCTTGCCCATGATGCGCATCAGGACCTCTTGGATCCCGATGGGCCGCA